TGTTTTCACTCTAATCAAAGATTTTTCAAGTCTCATCTATTGGCTTTTTAAAATAAAACACAGGTTCAGTACAACAGAAAGGACCTGAATGGCGTAGGGCAGTGCTTTTCAAACTTTAACATGCATAAATCACCCAGTGTCTCATAGGTTTGAAGTGGGGCCCTAGCATCTACATATCTGATAGGGGATGCTGTCAGAGCCTACACTTTGAACTATCAAGAGTGGGAAGATAGTTTTAAAGATGTTTTAAGGTGTTTATAATATCAATTTAAAGACAGGTGCTGATAACTGTGATAGTAGATACATATGTAGATACATACATATGGCTTTTCCAGCTTTCAATTTTTAAAAATAATCCTATTCACTTTAATAAAAACAATTGCCTTCACAAGTTTTTTTTCTCCATTCTTTCCCCTTTTCTTTTTCCTCCACTCTTTCTCCTTCCGTTCTTCTTCTTTGCTGTATCCTCTCAGCTTTTTTAACTCTACTCTTCCACCCTCAGTTGTTTTCATTCACATTAATTCAGTAATTCACGAATTCAACAAGTTGTGTTTTGCCCCATCCTGTACAAGGCACTGTCTTAGGCTCCTGGTGAGTACATATAACACATGGTTCCTGTCTAGGAGTGTACTCTGTTTGGGATTAGGCATGTGTACTTTTTTAGAGTTTAGAGCACTTGTAAAGGGCATCTGTAGGGAATAAAAACATATGGTAGGTGTTCAGGAGAGAGCTTTTCCAGTTGTAGGGGTGGGGAACAAATGAAGTCAATCTTTTTTCCGTTCACTGGTCATCTCTGTTCCCCCAGGTTATACTCTCTGTACTGTTTGATTGTATGTGACATATCTTCATAGAGTACAGTACCATTTTGTAAATTTATTTTATTTGGAACCTGAGATGGACTGGGTACATGAAAATCAATTAGATCTGAGCAATATCATAGGGAGGGCGAAAGGCGGTGGGGATAAAAATATATTGTACCTGGATAGAAAGACCAACAGAAGGAGGGGAAAGATGAAGAGGAAAGAAGACAGGAGGATCAAGTAAGACAGTAGGTGAAAAGGGCTTTTAGTAGGTTTTCTGGTCAGTTTGGTGTACACTGCTATTGTTATTTAGGCTGTGTTATTATCTGTTAAAAATCAAGTTAGCTGGCAAACTCTTCTTTTCGATTGCTCTTAAATTTAAATATGCGTGGACTTTCTCTTGGTTAGAATAGTTGATGAAGGCATTATTCTCTTAGTTGTTAACTGTGGGTAAGGCACTGTTGTATCATTGACCTTCTTTGCTGACATTTGATTTACATCTCAGTCCTTTAAAATCAAAAGTCATATTGAGAGGAAAATGGTTTAGAAAAGAAAATTCTGAGCCTATGAGAATCCATTAGGTACATATTAAAGTGATAAAGACTCAAACTCCATTTATTTATGAAAAATTAAATATAGTCACATACATTCTTATATATTCTATTTGTGTCTGTAATCCGTTAGGTTATTTACAGTAATGAAGGAAGAGAAGTGTAAATAGTCCAAAGTGGCAAATAATTGAAAATGCATGGGTGGCGGTATTCTAGAATTTCATTTGAAACAGAGTCATTAAACTGTATCTTGAAGCAGAGGACTTCGTATTATAGAAGTATAATTAACATTCTATAAAATGCACATATATTAAGTGTCCTGTTCAAGGAGTTCTGACAATTTTATACACTGAAACTTCTATAGAAAACATTTTTTTATCATCCTAGAAAGTTCCCTCATGCTTCTTTCCAGCCATTTCCCTCCCATCCACTTTCTGAGTCTATTGATTTCTGGCACCATAGATTTGTTTTGCCTATTTTTGGACTTCACATAAATGAAATCATACAACATGTATTTTTTGAATTCTTATTGATTTTTAAAATGTGATTATATACTGCAGTTATGTCTTTTATAAGAGAGTTCTTATCTTTTAGAGACACATACTGCAGTATACACAGATGAATGCTGTGATGCTGGAGTGTACTCAGAATAGTCCAGGGGGAAGGCAGAAAGTGGGTGGAGGTTACTAATGAGATAAGATTGGCCATGAGTTGTTGATTGCTGTATTAAATTTGTCATAGTAAAAAGTTGAAAAATAAAGTAAAATGGGATTTCTTCTAAAAATATTATTCTTTTTGTGTCTGGTTTCTTTCATGCAACAATGTTTTTGAGATTCACCAGTATTGTTGTGTGTGGTTTGTCCTTTTTAATTGCTGAGTAGTATTCCATTATATGAATATACTCCAATTTGTTTCTTTTCCTCTTGATGGATCTTTGGGTTATTTCCAGGTTTGGGCAATTATGAATAAGGTTGTTGTGAACATTCTTTTATAAGCTCTTGTGAATATACGTTTTCATTTCTCTTGATAAATACTTACAATTGGAATTACTGAGTCATAGGGCAGGTGTATATTTAACTTTATTAAATAACTGCCAAACAGTTCTGCAGAGTGGTTTATACATATGAGGGCTCTTCAAAAAGTTCATGGAAAGATTCGTATTATTTTTCCACGAACTTTTAGAAGTACTCTTGTATGATTTCCAGTTACTTTATTTTTGGTGTCACCCATTTTTAGTGTTGTCAGCTTTTTTTATTTTAGTCACACTGGAGGATGTACAGAGGTACCCCATTGTAGTTTTAATTTACATTTTCCTGATGATTAAGGGTGTTGAATGCTCTATCAGGTGCTAATTGGCTATACAGTACAGTACAATACGATACAATACAATTCTTCCTTTGTGTAATATTTGTTCAAGTGTTTTTGTCTATTTTTTCACTGAGTCATTCATCTTTTTAATGTTTGTAGGAGTTCTTTATAT